AAACGGACAGGATCAGTAGGTGCGGAGCATCCTACTGATCCAGCAACGTCAAGAGAATTTGTAGGCCTCTTGATGAAGGTTGCTCCCAACACACAGACATTGTGCGTTGCTGCTCTAGGTAATGAGATCTCACTCATTACCTTGAAACTCGAAGTGACGAATAAGTTGTCCCTTCGAGCTCTAGTCGATTGTGGGGCGTCCAACAATTTTGTGCGACGCCAATCGCTAGAAGATGGTCACTTTAAATTCAGTGAATGCAACACACCTCCTACGAGGATGACGGTACGTCTTGCGACAGGCGCATCCGTAACCGTCATGAAGCGTATAGTGAAGATTCACTATACGCTAGAAGATACCCAATACGACGATGACTTTATCGTATTGGATTTGGATGACAAATTTGATGTCATCCTTGGAATACCGTGGCTCAGAAGGTACGAACCACGGGTAAACTGGCAACATCGGACAGTAACGATGCCTGCCGCTTGTTCATCAGATGGCCATCTGATGAACGTTTTGGAGCGTCCACAAGCGTGTGGATGTACTACGAGTGAGTGCGATGGCCTCACTTGTGGTACGGTCGTTAGTACGACTGCACAAAACCTTAGTGTACCAAACGGTTACACTTCGGAGCAAAGTTCCGGCGGCTGTGAGGAAACACAGGCTGCGCCGAAGGTCCACCACTCGAATAAGTCGGGTGGACTGGGACAAAGATGTATCCCTAGAGGGGAACATCTAGAAGAGAAACAATCGATCGCTCAGGTTAAGCGAAACGATAATCCTAGATCGACTGGAGAGTCTTTCGTAGAGGATCTCGCTGTGGTTGCGCAACCCCAGCTAGAGGAAGTAAAGGGAATAAGTCCCAAGATTACAAATACGGCGGAAATAAGTTCCCCGAAACCCGCGGGAATAAGTCCCCGGGAAGCAGAAGGAATAAGTCCTTCGAAGCCTGAGGGAATAAGTCCCCAGGAAATCACAGAGACATTGAATGTCATAGTCAATAACGGATCATGTGTAGGCGCTTATACACTTGATCTGATTGCGCCTCCGAAGTTAACTTCGGAGATCACTCAGTTGCCAACGCTCGAACATAAAAGGTTCTTGCGTGATCTGCGTAGTGGCAAAGTCAAGCAGATCTGCATACTCGTCGCTGAAGACGAGTATGTAACCGACATAAGGTCAGCAACAGTGTTTACTGAGAACGAGAGAGTTCTCAGTAGTTCATCTATGGACGAGAGTGTCCTAGATGAAAAGACACGAATTGAGCGATATGAGTCCCAATCATGGGAATCGCTCAAGGAAAATCCTCTCTATGAAGATTTGGTTGAATTCAAGGATGTATTCCCTGAAACTGTTCCGTGCGAATTACCGAAGGATAAAGGTATTCGACACGAAGTCGAGCTTAAACCAGGCTCGAAGTACTGTGTCATGAAGCAGTGGCCACTGCCTCGTGAACAAGTACTTGCGATCGACAAGTTCTTTGCCGATCGTTTAGCAGCGGGCCATGTGAGGGAATCAACTTCCCCACATAGCTCTCCGACCTTCTGTGTGCGAAAAGCAACAGGAGGGTGGCGGATAGTGCACGCGTTTAACAAATTGAACGCTGCAACGGTACCGGCTCAGACGCCGATACCGAGGAAGGACGTAATCATTGATGGTATGTCAAAGAGTACCATCTTTTCGTCCATGGATTTGATGGATGGCTTCTATCAAATCCTAATGCGGGAACAGGATATACCCTATACCGCAGTTAGCACGCCTAGCGGCATGCTCTGGGAATGGCTAGTAATGCCACAAGGGCTCAGTAATGCCCCTGCCACGTTCAACAGGTGTGTATCACATCTGTTGAGGCCAGTACGAGAATTCGCGCCGAGTTATTTCGATGACGTATTCATCCATAGTCGAGCTATGGATGGAAAGTCGGACGTTGAGGTTCACAAGTACCACGTCCGACAAGTTCTTACAATCATGCGAAAGCATCAATTTGTATGCAAACCTCAAGAAGTGTATTTTTGCAGCAAGCGAAATACCACTTCTTGGGTGCATCGTTGGTAAGAACGGTGTACGTCCTGATCCCGAAAAGATCAAGGCGATCACCGACTGGCCCGTGCCGGTCGATGTCAAAGGTCTTCGAAAATTCCTTGGGCTAGCGGCGTATTTGCATAAGTATTCACGCAATTACGCCGAGATGACTGTACACCTCTCTCGTTTGTTGAAAAAGAACGAGAGGTGGTTATGGAACGCTGAATGTCAACGCTCCTTTGAGGGTATCAAGCAGAGCTTGATACAATCCCCAGTCCTAGCAATAGCCGATCAGGACAGGCCATTTCATGTGGTCTGTGATGCCAGCGATTTCGCAATCGGCTGTGCATTAATGCAGTACGACCTTGAAGGCGTTGAACGCGTCGTCTGCTATCAGTCGCGTCAGCTGCAACCAGCTGAGCGGAACTATCCAGTGCATGACAAGGAACTCCTTGCCATGAAGTATGCACTCGCGAAGTTCAGAGTCTATCTATTAGGAGATAGACCCTTCGTTGTTTACACTGACCATGCGTCCTTACGCACGGCAGTGAACAGCCCGCACCTTTCACAACGAATGGCGCGGTGGTTGTCATTCTTTGCAGAATACAACTTTACGGTCGAGTACAAACCAGGACGACTTAATGTCGTCGCTGATGCACTCTCACGTCGTCCCGACTTTGAAACAGTCGCGAAACCCAACAGTGAGACAGTCACTGTTGCGGTTATGACGTCCTCAGTTCCATCTACAACGTTGTATGATGATGTGAGGCGGGCATACGCCCAAGATGGTGAGATAGTGAAGTTGTTGTCACATCTCTCCCAACCATCTCGAGAATCGTTGAAACGATTGTCGTCTGCGTATCGATCTGCATCAGATCGATACACTACTCGTAACGGTTTACTGTACTATACAGCCGTTTCTGGTGACACACCACGTGTTGTCATTCCAGATGATACTGATCTGCGTTTGCGGATCATGTTCGAGTATAACGATGCTCCTATAGGAGGACATCGTGGCCGAGAGAAAACATATCTCACGGTAAGTCGAGACTTTTACTGGCCCCGCCAGTATCAGTTTGTGCGAAAGTATGTTCGCGCATGCGAAGTCTGCCAACGAGTGAAGTCAAGTCCTTCACTGCGTGCACCTTTACAGCCTCTACCGGTTCCGGCTGAGTGCTGGGAATCCATCTCAATGGATTTCGTCTTCGGGTTACCCAAAGACGCACGCGGGAATACGGGTATTCTCGTATTTGTTGACAGATTCAGCAAAATGGTACACCTTGTGGCTGTACCAGAGACAATCACGGCAAGTGGCTGTGCTTGTGTCTTTATTGACACCATCTTCCGACTTCATGGGTTGCCCCGTGAACTCGTATCAGACAGAGATCCACGATTCACTGCTGATTTCTGGCGTTCCGTGTTCAAATCACTCGGAACGCGCTTGAAGATGTCAACATCTGATCATCCAGAGTCAGATGGTCAGACGGAACGTGCCAATCGTGTCCTTGAAGAGATACTTCGAGGATACGTACACTCCTTTAAGAGTTGGAGTGAGTTTTTGCCGATGGTAGAGTTTGCCATTAACAACTCGGTGCATGCGTCCACGACACATACACCGTTTTACGTGAATGGCTTGCGCCATCCGCGTGTACCCACCTTACTAGAGTGTAACTCTGGTTTGAAGGGGGAGGGACTCGCGCGAGCAAAAACCGATTTGGTTCACGCTCATCACGCTCTGACGAAGAAGTCATTGCGTTTGATGCCGATATCGATAACATCGATATCGAAGAAGATGATGCCAGTGAGAGTGCGGAAGCCCTCACTGAAGACAATGATCCCAGTGAGAGTGCGGAAGCCCTCACTGAAGAAAAGGTTGTTGTCGCTGCAGTGCGCTCACAGCACACTGAAGCTAACGAGTCATCAGATGAGTTCATACTGGCTCGTGAAACGGTAGTCCGTTTTGTGCAAGACTCCATCGCCGAAGCGGTGGATAAGCAAAAGCAAAACGCTGACAAGAATGGAAGGGCAAACACTCTTTTATTTAATAAAGGTGACTTAGTCCTACTGTCTACGGTTAATCTACCAAAACATGTAGTGACTAACTTGGGTAGCAGTAAACTACTACCCAAGTACATTGGCCCATTTCGTGTATTGCACCGCCTAGGCAATGCATACACGATCGAGTTACCACGTAAGATGCGAACGCATCCCACGTTTTACGTTGGTCGGCTTAAGCCGTACCATCAGTACGCTGCTTCTTCCGATGAAGAACGCCCTTGCGCTCAAGCATCTCGCAGAGAGCCTTGTGCTCCCGATGGTGGGCATCAACAAGGGTCTGAAGAGCAGTTATCTCAGCCCGAGACCGATCAACAATCCCACGAGCTACCCTTAGCTCGTCACGAAGAGATGTCAGAGATCTCTCGTTCTCAAGCTGAGCAAAGGCAAACTCAGCTCGATGCTTCGAGGCAGTGTCCACCATCTGGAGACGCCTATTCCGCTCATGCTCGAGATCGTCGCGTAACCCTTGCGTTACGCGATCAAAAGCTCTCGGGAACACACCGATCCACATGATCGTGTGGAGAGCGTCTTTCCTCCTCCTCCACCTCCATTAGAGGACTCTCGCGGTGGCCAGCGCTATCTAGTTGAGCAGCTGTTGAACCACCGCGACGTGAACGGACGTCGGACGAGTTACCTCGTCCGGTGGCGCGGCTATCCCCCGTCCTGGTATTCTTGGGAGCCCCGCTCCCAATTGATGGTTGACGTACTGGGTCTGGTCGAGCAGTACGACGCGACACATCCTGTGCCGCAGAAGGACCGCCGGAGAAAGTCTTCCCGGCACGGTCGTAAAGGGATTTCAGGTTGTCAATCCCTTCGTACATCTCAGTAGAGATACTTACGCGCCATCACGGGCTAGTAAGAAGGTAAGCCTCCTTAGGTGCTCGCGCAGAGTTGTTCACACAACATGGGCACGAGTCTCCTCAGGAGAGACAGGGTAACCCACCCTCCTTAGACAGACGATGCAGCTTATAGCGTGCACCTGTCGGGGTTCGCTTTTCAAACTTATCACGAGCTTTGATAAGTTTGTCGTTCCAAGCGTCACGACCTACATCCTCGAGGTTATGGATGTAGGCGTTCCACGCTTGAAGTAGTGAGGGACCATCACGTTTGTGATTCCCACTGTACCATCGATGTCTGAAGAAAGCATCGATGAAGAACTCATGTTCAGCGCGATAGTCTTTCGCGCTGGGGTCAAGGTGATGAATCCTTGACGAATCGAACAATCGTGTTCGATAACGATCACTCGTCGTCGCCGACAAGTGATCCATGACAGAAGTACTGGCACCTCGCTGTGAAGTGGTGTCCATTGGAGAAACGACACCACTATTAGCGCCCGAGTCTCGCGACCTCGAGCGCCTTCGCTTCGGCGATGGTTCATCTGACTCATCAGATGAACCAAAGATGCTGCGACGCAAAGCATCGTCCATGCCACGCTTGGCAGGCGGCTTGGATTCAACTGCCGTCGATACGGATCCGTCATCCGTATCAGGAGAGTACGAGACACCGAGCTCGTACTCTGTGAAGACACGAGTGTCTTCATGACCAGCGCCTGCATCACCAGGTGATACAGGCTGAGTCGATTCAGCAACCGATGGGACATCAGTTGCTGTAGTTTCTGCTTCGGCGTCCGCACAGAGACGTGCAGACGCGCTCTCGGCGGCCTTGCTCGCGCATCGCATGGGCTTGTTTACCATGCGATGAGATGTTGGAAAGTGGACGCGGACCAACAAGTGCAAACCCCGTCCCAAATGATTTGGGACGAGTATCCATTTAGTCAATCAGTCACTAAAGTGACTGATGGTTAAGGGGGGTGATGTAACGGGGTGAATCGTTACATAACAATTTATAAGAAATTGTTAATAGAATATAACTATAAGAGTTATATTCTCAGAATATTGTCATAAGGACAATATTCTGTAGCACTCCCAAGTAGTTCCTAATTGGTTGATATAGGCCATTATATCAACCAACGAAGACGCGCCACGACAGACGCACGCAATGAGTGGTGAGCAGATAACTGATTTACACATTTGTATTTAGACATAGTTAGATGAAGATAAATAGTGATTTATTGCAGACATTAACTATTATAAATACAGTTCTACTTTTTACTCTAACCGAGTACTCGCTTCTTCTTACCGTCTTCCTCTGCACGTACGAGTGTACGCGAAGTTACGAGGCACCGCCTTATTCTGTTATCAGAATAAGTAGCTTGTACTGTCACCAGTACAAGCTTCAGGGTGCCCCGTTACACACGATATGTTATCAGGGTTCTTGATGCAACTCGTGGCACTGGGCCATTACATTTTTAGTACACCCCCGCGCAACTGGACCGACAGCAATTCTGTGCTGTAAGCCGATCTTTCGCAAAAGCACCGACTGTGTTTCAGTAGCAAGACACATTTTGCTGCTACACCTTTACACAAAGTTCTCATTTTACCATCACAACGCTTTCTTTAGTCATGTGCACCTGTTCGTTTGACCTCTACTCACCGGATGGAGCTGTAGTTCTGCTTCTGAGACGCTGGTTGAGACGGTGCGAAAAGAACATACGTCTCTTGGTCAGAGATCTGCGTCTGCATCGTGACCGCAGACCTCCATTTGTGCGTGTAATCGACATCAATATTCTGGCCGAACGACGCTGACTCCCACAACTCGGCTGGGGCTAGACCCTTTATTTTTAAGGGCTGGGATGGTCGTCACGGTTGACTCTATCGGTAAGGTCTTTGTGGTCCTGACATGGCGCCTCGTACAAATTTTAACCGGTATGTATCAGCAACCGTAGCCAAAGCAATTAGACTCGGCTCGACAAAAGTCGCGCTAGATGCTGCTTAAATAGGACGATCAACACACCTTGCGCGTTAGGCTAACCATCGTTCTAGCAGGTGGTGTTTATTATTGCAGCAGTCGCAGTCTCGTGTATTCGACAAGCCTGACCTAATTTTTCCTGAAACGACTATAAAAAGTCCTTCCACAAAAAATTACAGTCAGCGTTACCCAAAAAGTGTACCAAGGTCCTCGTCAAAAACAATGTCGATCAATTTCGACAAACATGCTTTTACCGTCTTTTGACTTCAACCTGTCTGACCCCCGGCGCGAATATGAGCAACCAACCAAAAAAACGGCCCGAATTTCTCGTCCGTTTTGGTCAAGGTCTTCTTTATGCCAGATAAGGTCATTCAGCGACATATTGACGCCTCTTTCGTTCTTACCCTCTATTTTATGTGCCCATTCAGAAGCCGTTACGCCTGACTTTGAACCGGACACCTTAAGCTGCTCCTGCTGCTGCTGCCCATGGCGTCGCGCTTTTCTGGCTGCCGCCAAGTGCTCGCTGTACCCCGGAGCTTGGTGTCCCAGAACAAACGGCGTTTCCGACAGGATGGGTTTGATCTGGATCTGGGATACGTGCACCCGCGCGTGATCGTCATGGGTTGGTTTCGATAGAGCCTCGAATTCGCTGGTTGTCAAAGTGTGCCTAAATTGTGTAACCTGGTACAAAAGGTTACCCCGCTACTGGAGTGGAGCTTTTGTTTCGGAACTCCCGTGAAGAGGTGCAGTCGTTTCTGGAGGAACGACACGCTGGGGACTATTTCGTTTTCAACTTTTGTGACGAGCCAAAACGGAGGTGACTTGGCTACTAGTTGTGTGGTTTCCAAGAGCTTTTGTTGTGTTTTGTCTGCAGAAAAAGTACTTTTAGGGTTGACCAGACTGTGTTTTGATTGTACATTACTACTGCAGCTACTCGCCCATTACTTTTGACGGACGGGTAAAACGCTTCCCGATTGAAGACCACAACGTCCCGTCGTTCCAGACCATGTACGAGCGTCACAACTAGATTTGAGCGGTCGTGAGATGCGCACTAAAAAGGAAGACTAAGTGCAGCTTTACTCTTCCTCTTGTCGTGCTGTATGCAGGGTCGCTTTCTGTGAAGAAGCTGCAGCTTGGCTTGCAGGTAGCAAAAAGCACGTCGTAGTGCTTCATTGCAAGGTACTCAGGATGAGTTAAAATTGGCTGGTTAGAGAAGCCTGACATGTGGAACTGACGGCAGGCTGGAAAAGGAAGAGCTGGAATGATGGCGTGTATGCTTCTCTTACGAATGGGTTACGTAGCAACGGCGACAGAAGCGATCGAATGTTACAATAGTGAACGTGTGCGTGATCACCGCGGTCTCACTGTTGCGAGTCAGACGAAATGGGTAGCATATTATGCAGCTTCGCGCGTACGAGTATCGGTTTTTCGAGACATTTCTCGTGCAGAGCCGACCGTGACCGTTCACAAGTTGACGCTCAACAACACGTTGACAGCTAAGAAGTTGCCAAAATTACGACTGCGCATCTTCACATTAGCCCCTAATGGGCTTTCGAAGACGCTGATTCATCAAAAGATCGGCTTCCATGAGTTTGAGTTATGTCAAGAGATTCGCGGCTGCGTCATGATTGAGTTCCGCCGCGAGCAGATGAATGGCTGCATGCGAGCCAAGCACTTTAAAATCTGGTTCAACACTCATTTCCTCAAGCCAGGTGCGTTGAGTGGGTGGATCTGACATGTTGATTGGTACTGAAATCGTGATGATGGCTGTAGACGCGAGAACTGGACGCGTTACTTTTCCTCGATCCGAAATGGACTGGGCGTCTCAGGACAAGAAATATCACCGCCTTCCTGCTGCCTTTGAGCTTTCGATGACCATTTCCAAATAGAATCTCAGTGTAAACTCCTTCACACTGCATCGTCGTGCATGAGCACAGACTCGTCGCGCTCGAACGATGTTGTTTATTACATGCAGTCATGTGTCAGGCACCTCAACCGTAACGCTGTAAGACATAGTGTGCAGCATCCGTTTTACGACCCATTTCTTTCTGGCCGACGTACCAGGATGGTGTTGCCGAAGTGAATAAACAGCAAAATTACGTAGACAAGATGTACCATGTCACTATGTCCCACCTGCATTGCTTACATTGCGTACCTGTTTGTATTTACCCACATTTGACATGATTCTGTCAAATAACGATTCAACACCGGTTCAGTGGGTTTGAAGTCTAGCTTCCGATTGTGCTGTAAAAAATAGCTGAATGTTTTATCCCGTCGTACCTTTCTTTTCGACCTCGATCTTTCAATTTGTCAACAATCACTTGCGCGCTTTTAATGCTCTTCAGATGCTGTTATGAGTCCTTGCCTAGAAGCAGCAGCTGAAAGGTCTCAAGCAATATGTTTGAGTACGGTACGTCTACCATCAAGCATTTCATGATCGCCCTAACAATGTAACAACAAGGTGTACGAACTGCATCGGGTTGCCCGTTACATGAAATTGACACCAAATGGTGTCAATTGGAATATTGTCTAGCATGACAATATTCTACCGATATTATTCGAGATGGATAATATCGAAGGAATATTATCCCTTTTTAAGATAGTATTTATGCGCTGCTTCAAGTTTGGTTGATATAAGACATATTAATCATGGATTGCCACCAAGCGCTGCTAGACGCGCGCAATGAGTGGTGAGCAGGTTGTCGTCATGCGACAATGTAGTTTAATATAGTTAGATAAAGATTAAAGTTATATTGATAGCTTAACTACATTAAATAAAGTTCTCTTTTCACCTTACTCGATCGAGTTGTTTAAGTAGTTTAGCTTCCTCTGCACGTACTAGTGTACGTGAAGTTTCGTGGCATCTAGACAAAGGGTGCCCCGGTACACCTGGTAGCACTTCGTAGTCCGTCCAACGACTGCTTAGTGTCCGTCCAACACGAGCATGTTGGACGTAGAAGACGGCAGCTTTCGTGTAACACGTGAAGGCTACTCCCACCTGAGGACTCAGATGGGAGGTAGTTGGCCGCATGAGTGTGCTCATGGGCGAACCCGCCATCAGTGGTATGTTGGAGTCTCTAAGCAGAGACCAACAACATGCTGCTATCAACAAGTTCCTACAAAGGGGAACTTGCCGTCGAACTACAGAAGATAGCCTTGCTACAGCAGCAAGGCTCTCATCAGTCGATGGGCGGGCCGACGCACATGCGTCGACCCGAAATTTTGGTGATTGATATCTCAAGGTACAAACAAGGGAACCGATGAAGATTCCCTTTTGAGATGGTTCGTCGAGTTAGACGATGCCATCAGGGCCCGTCACATCGAGGGTGACGAGATGCAAGTCACCTTCTCCCTGTCAAATTTGACGGGACGAGCAAAGACTTGGGCCTTAGGGCTCAAGCTTCACGACCCATAACGTGTTTGAGTTGTTAGAGATCTTGAAGTCTCGGCTCAAAGAGACGTTTGAGCCGCCAAGAGCCGAGTTCAGAGCACGTTCTGCACTCCTGAGGCTCAAGCGAGGTAAGCGTGACGTGCACGCTTACGCACAGCACCTGCGCTACCTTGCGAGTAGCGTTACGGAGAACCCTGTTGACGAGCACACGCTCATGAATGTGATCATCTACGGCCTTGTGGATGGGCCGGTGAAGACCTACATGTTCCGAGAGGGCTTCCATACGCTGGAAAGGGCGATAGCGTATGCGGAACAAGAAGACTACAGCCTGAGACAGTCTCAGGCTAACTCGTCCAACTATCGTCCAACGAGGCGACAGGAAACAGGAGGTCCCGAACCAATGGACCTCTGTTACATAGAGAGCGAGAACTCTCGCTCTCTGAGTCACAAGCGAACGGCAAGATGCCACCGCTGTCAGAAGATTGGACACTATGCTTATGAGTGTAGTGTCCCGAGCACTGCGACATGTCTGAAAACAGGACGTAATGACCGCCGTTGGCCAAGGAAGGGTCCGAGGCGTGGGTCCGACCATGTCTCCAAGCCGCGACAGCAAGTCGTACCGTCAAAAAACGGTCAGGGTCAGTAGGGGTGGAGCACCCTGCTGATCCAGCAACGTCAAGAGAATTTGCAGGACTCTTGACGAAAATTGCTCCCAACACGCAGTCGCTGTGTGTTACTGCTCCTAGTGATGAGGAGTCTCTCATCACTTTGAAGGTCGAAGTGACAAGTGGAATGCCACTTCGCGCCCTAGTTGACTGTGGTGCGTCGAACAGTTTTATTCGACGTCAGTCGCTAGGGGATAGTAGGCTCAACTATGTTGAGCGAGAGTACCCTCCAACGAGGATGACGGTGTGCCTTGCTACATGCGCATCCGTAACAGTGAGCAAACGTGTAGTGCGAATCCACAACACGCTAGAAAGAAAGCAGCACGATGATGACTTTATCGTACTAGATCTGGATGACAAATTTGATGTCATCCTTGGTCTGCCATGGCTTCGAAAATACCAGCCATGGATTATCTGGCAGCATCGATCCGTGAAGATGCCTGCCGTTTGTTCATCGGATGGCCATCTGATGAACGTCTTGGAGCGTACACAAGCGTGTGGATGTACTACGAGTGAGTGCGATGGCTTCACTTGGGGTACGGTCGTTAGTACTATTGCACAAGATCACAGTGTAAAAGGCCACTACACTGCGTGAATAGCTTCCGGCACTTGTGTAGAGACACAGGCTGCGCTGAAGGTTCACCACTCGAAGAGATCGAGTGGACTGACACATAGATGCACACCATTCAGGGTGCATCCGAGAAGAGATATAAGTGATGTTCAGGATGAACAACACGTTGAAGCAAGATCGACTATCGGAGAGTCGATCGTAGAGCAAGCCCGATCGACTGAAATAAAGTAGATTGAAGAGGACCTGACCCCACAGTCAATACACGTATTGGAAGAATGTTACGGCGTTCCTGAGAGTGATAACTCCCGAGAGAGTTATGTTTAGGGTGTGAATTCCCAACCACCTGCGGATGATATCCCATGAAATCACCGAGACAGTGAATGTCTTTTGAATGACGGATCAAGTGTAGGCGCTTATAAACTTGATCTAGTTACGCACCTCCGAAATCAGCTTCGGAGGTGGTCAAGTTGCCAACGCTAGAATCTAAAAGATTCTTGCGAGATCTGCGTAGTGACAAGATCAAGCAGATCTGCGTACTCGTCACATAGGACGAGTACGTCGCCGATATTCGGTCGGCATTAGTGTTTGCTGAGAACGAACGGGTTCTCAGTAGCTCATTGATGAACGAGAGTGTCCTCGATGAGAAGACCCGGATTGAGCGATACACGTCTCAATCTCGGGAGTCTCTAAAGACAAATCCGTTGTATAAGGATTTGGTTAGATTCAGAGATGTTTTCCTGGAATCCGTGCCATGCGAGCTGCCTAAGGACAAAAGCACTCGGCATGAGATCGAAATGAAACCTGGTTTGAAATACTGTGTCATGAAGCAGTGGCCACTTCCTCGTGAACAGGTCACAGCGATTGAAAATTTCTTTGCCGATCGTTAAGCGGCTGGTCATGTGAGGGAATAAACATCCCCACAAAGCTCTCCGACCTTCTGTGTGCGAAAGGCCACAGGAGAGTGGCGGATAGTTTACGCGTTTAACAAATTGAATGTTGCAACGGTACCGGCTCAAACGCCGATCCCAAGAAAGGATGTCATCATAGATGGTATGACAAAGAGTACCATCTTTTCGTCCATGAATTTGATGGATGGATTCTATCAGATCCTCATGCGTGAACGGGATACCCCTTACACAGCAGTGAGCACCCCCAGTGGTATGCTCTGGGAGTGGCTAGTGATACCGCAGGGGCTAAGTAACGCCCCTGCAACGTTCACCAGATGTGTTACGAATCTTTTGAGACCGGTGCGGGGTTTCACACCGAGTTATTTTGACGATGAGTTCGTCCTTAGCTAGGCTATGGGCGGGAGGACGGACGTAGATGCTCATAAAACACACTTTAGTCAGGTTCTTGCACTTATGCGAGAGCATAAGTTGTTCGCGAACATCAAAAGTGTATATTCGCAGCGAGCGAAAAAAACACTTCTTGGCTGCATCGTAGGTGAAAACGGTGTACGCCCTTATCCGGAAAAGATCAAGGCGATTAGCGACTGGCCTGTGCCAGTCGACGTCAAGGGACTTCGAAAGTTTCTTGGCTTGGCGGCATAGTTGCACAAACACTCGTGCAACTATGCCGAGATGACCGTACATCTCTCTCGTCTATTAAAGAAAAACGAGAGGTGGTTATGGAGCGCTGATTGTCAGTACTCTTTTGAGGGGATCAAGAAAAGCTTGGTGCAATCGCCTGTGTTGGCGATTGCAAACCAGGATAGACCATTTCATGTGGTCTGTGACGCCAGCGATTTTGCAATAGGCTGCGCGTTAATGCAGTACGACTCAGACGGTGTTAAGCGCGTCGTCTGTTATCAATCGCTTCAACTGCAAGCAGCTGAGTGAAATCATCCGGTGCATGACAAGGATCCTTACCATGAAATATGCACTGGCAAAGTTTCGGGTTTATCTCTTAGGAGATAGGCCCTTCATCGTTTATACCGACCATGCGTCGTTACGCACGGCCGTAAACAGTCCACACCTCTTGCAACGAATGGCGAGGTGGCTGTCTTTCTTCGCGAAGTACAACTCCTCCGTCGAGTATAAACCAGGACGACTTAATGTCGTCGCTGATGCTCTTTCGCGTCGGCCAGATTTCGATCCGACTGCTCAACCCAACAGTAGGGGTGATCCCACTGTCGCGACACTAACAGTGAGTGTTCCGTCGTCTAATCTGCTCGATGACGTGCGAAAAGCATATACAGAAGATGAGTCTCTTCTGCGGTTGATGGATTACGTATCCAATCCGCGTAATCAAGCTTTGAAAAACTTGTCGTCTCAATACCGCTCTTCAACCGAACGGTATTCTGTCCGTGATGGACTGCTGTACGATACAGCAGTCAACGGCGACACACCTCATGTCGTCGTTCCGGCTCATGATGATTTGCGATTGCGCATCATGTATGAGTGTCCCGATGCCTCGACAAGTGGACATCGCGGTAGAGAAAAGACTTACCTCACGGTGTGTCGTGACTTGTACTGGCCCCGCCAGCATGAGTTTGTGTGCAAATACATTCGCGCTTGCGAAGTCTGTCAACGGATGAAGCCTAGTCCTTCATCCCGCGCAACCTTGCAGCCTCTTCCGATTCCGGCAGAGTGTTGGCAGTCCGTATCGATGGACTTCGTCTTCGGGTTTCCCAAAGACGTTCGCAAGAATACTGGTGTTCTTGTATTTGTTGATCGGTTCAGCAAGATGGTACATCTTGTTAATGTACCGGAGTCAACCACAACCCAGGGATGTGCGCGTGTCTGCATCGATACTATCTTCCAACTTCACGGATTACCCCGTGAACTCGTGTCCGTTAGGGACCCCCGCTTCACAGCGGAGTTCTGGCAATCCGTGTTTCATTCACTTGAAACACGTTCGACGATGTCAACTTCTGACCATCCCGAAACAGATGGTCAAATGGAACGCGTCAACCGCGTCCTCGAAGAGATACTTCGAGGGTATGTCCGCTCGCTTACGAGCTGGAGTGATTTCTTGCCGATGGCGGAATTCGCCATCAACAACTCGGTGCACGCGTCAACAACGCATACACAGTTCTTCGTGAATGGCCTACGCCATCCACGTTTACCCGCCTTCTTAGAGTGTGACTCTAGTTTAAGGGGGGGGTGGACTCGCTCGAACAAAAACCGATCCGGTCCTTGCTCATCGTACGTCGACAATGGTGTCGACGTGATGGATGCCGATGTCGATTAGATCGACATCGATGATGATGATGACGACGATGCTGTCATATTCAGCATCGCCAATGACTGCCACAGTGAGGACGATGACACCCTCACTGGTGAAGACAACGTTCTTTCAGCAGTGCACACGAAGCGCACTGCTGTTGACAAGGATGAATCAGCAGAGAAATTTCTGCTGACTCGCGAAGCGAGTGTCCTCTTCGTTCAAGACTCTATTGCAGATGCACTAGACAGACAGAAGAGAAACGCAGACAAACAAGAAGAGCAAGTTTTCTTTCATTTGATGAAGGAGACCTAGTTTTACTGTCTGCAGTAAACTTAGCGAAACACGCAGTGACATACGTGGGCAGCAGTAAATTACTGCCCAGGTACATCGGTCCATTTCGTGTGTTGCGCCGAATGGGCAACGCATACACGATTGAACTGCCCCGTAAGATGCGTACGCATCCTACGTTTTACGTTGGTCGTCTCCACCCTTACTATTAGTACGAGCCCGTTTCAAGATGCGAAGAACACCTCCACGGTCGAGAGCCGACACCACCTTCGAGTGGTCCCGTTTCAACGAACCAGTCTGGTCGACTAGCGAAGCGACCTGTTCACGCAGCTCAGCGATATCTCGGCAAGCTGGAGTCAGCTCTTCACGAAGAGAACGAGTCGAACGTTCGTTCTCAAGTTGCGTGAACGCAAAAGCGGCACGATCGTCCGAACGATCGTGCGTTAGGGAATCGTAATTATCCCTCACAAGATCCTCAAGCTCATAACGCCGAGTCCGTTCGTGAGCCAGGTCATCTTGCAACTGTTCCGTTACACGGTTCAGCTCTTGAACATCAACTTGATCCGACCCTCGACCCGGATCAGGTGTTCCCGCCGCCACCACATCCTTTGGTGGACTCAAGCGGTGGTCAACGCTTCCCAGTGGAGCGTATTTTGAACCACCTCGATGTGAATGGCGTCCGGAAGAGTTACCTCGTCCGCTGGCGTGGCTATCCACCGGCGTGGGACAGCTGGGAGCCTCGTGCCCAGCTAATTGTTTCTGTCCTTGGTCTCGTCGAGCAGTACGACGAGACCCACCGGCTGCGTTTGAATAAGGGCCGTCGGAAAACGACCTCCGCGAACGCGAGTACAGGGATTGCAAGGTGCCAATCCCTTCGGCCATATCGGAAGAGATGCGCGCCCTCCAGTAGGAATCATTAGGGAGGCAGGACTCCCTAGGGGCACGGTTCGAGTTGTCCAGGAAACCTGGACACGAATCACCCCACGAGATACAGGATTATCCTACCTCTCTTGAAAGCCGGTGCAACTTGTATTGCGCCCCGACTGGGTTGCGTTTTTCAAACCTGATGCGAGCTGCATCAAGTTTGGCGAGCCAAGCCTCACGGCTAATACACTCGATGTTGTGGATGAGGGAATTCCATCCCTGCACCAAGGCTTTGCCGTCCAGAACACGGCTACCATTGTACCACCGATGTTTGAGGAACGCATCGGTGAAGAACTCTTCCTCAGCACGGATAGTTTCCGTGCTGGAATCAGGTGGGCAAATATTCCTGCAATCGAACAACGGGATTCGATCCCGTTCCATAGTCGTGCCGACCAACCGGTACAACTCTCTGGATGGCGGCATCCACGGAGACTCCACTTGAGGACCGTGGCGCAGGACATTTCGGTCCCTGGCCTCTTGATTGGTGCCAGCATGAGCACTGGCACCAGTGTTACCCCGATCCCTTGATTTACTTCGCTCGTGGTGATGTATAGGTGCATCACCACCATCTCCACGCGTCCTATCGTTGGATGGACTTGCGTGAGGCGGAGATTCGTCGGAATAATCACTCGATCCGAAGATCTCGGACATGATACCGCCACGTTGACCAGACCCAGTCAACCTAGCCCTTGCAGTTTCCGCCCCAGGTTATCCGGAGGCGTGAGGTGTCGCCTTCGAGTCGGATGCATCATCCGTCTCGCCGGAATAGATGAGCTCTATCTCAGACTCGTCTTGATTACGATTCGAGGTACCCGCTGCAGACGCAACGGATGTACCTGTTGCACGTGGTGACTCACCACGTGAAGATTTCACAACAACAAGCGACGTATAGCCTGCTGCTGAGGCGTGAGATACACTTTCCGCGGCCGCACGCATTCGTGCAGCCGCTATTCTTGCTTCTGCAGTAGCAGCTCGCGTGGTTTTGGAAACCATGCGTTGGATTTGCAAATGAATGGGATTTGACCAACAAGTGCTCCCTTTCCCAGAGTGATCCAACGGTGGTCACCCTGTCCCAATCAATTCTAATTCAATCAACGGGTGATTGATGGTTAAGGGTGAGGTGATGTAACGGGGTAGCCCGCTACTTGAAATTGACACCAAACGGTGTCAATAGGATCATTGTCTAGCATGACAATATTCTACCAATATTATCCGAGATGGACAATATCGAAGGAATATTATCCCTTTTTAAGATAGTATTTATGCGCTGCTTCAAGTTTGGTTGATATAAGACATATTAATCATGGATTGCCACCAAGCGCTGCTAGACGCGCGCAATGAGTGGTGAGCAGGTTGTCGTCATGCGACACTGTAGTTTAATATAGCTAGATAAAGATTAAAGTTTTATTGATAGCTTAACTACATTAAATAAAGTTCTCTTTTCACCTTACTCGATCGAGTTGTTTAAGTAGTTTAGCTTCCTCTGCACGTACTAGTGTACGTGAAGTTTCGTGGCACCTAGACAAAGGGTGCCCCGGTACAACATTGCTCTGCAATGAAATATAAGCTCAATGCATAAACTGTACACGGCTGCAAGCTTTATGAATGACTACGAAGGGTCTGAGGCAATGCCTAGTTCGATTATGTTATCACACTACCTCTCGAGGCAAAGGAAGTGAACAAGCTTGAAACTGCTGTTTCGTACGGTGAGGTACAATCAGACATAATAAGTATGACAATTCGAAGATCGGAAGCAAAGAGACTTGCAGTGGTTCAAGTAAACCTCACAGAAGATATTTAAAAAGCCAAACTCATTGTATTGAGTGTGGTTCTCTCTTTAGTGAATTTGTGAAACGATTAACAGTTTTGGCAGATTGAAGGAGCTAGAATGATTGCAAAGGCGACGCGTATGTATCCCTTAATGTAAGTTTCGATCTGCCTTGACTGCGTCATGATACGGTAGTGGACAGTCCGTAGATGAACGGCAGCATAAAATGAGTCCTGTGCATATCGAAGGCAAGTAGCAATGCCTGTTCCAAAATTCAAATCTCGAAACCCGACCAACTGGTTATTACGACGTACTCATGTCCTCCAGGTACTACCGTTGCGGTTGCGTAACTACATGATTTTTCTTTATAGTTGATGCTCTGATTGATCTAGAATCGCTCAACAAGCATCTTCTCTGTTCTGCATTCAGCTGTCGGTTTTCATTTGTCCCCTTTCCCGCTTGGCTCGTTCGCGCCTAACCTTGCGCAATCTATGTCTCCCTAATCTACGTTTGCATGCTTCACTTTGTTGCTGTCAGATAGTCGCATGGAATTTATTGGGATCTTGTTCATTATCTAGTGAGACAATGCACTCAGATAAATCGGTCCACACGTCGATTAAACAGTGAAGTATTTGTTTTAATTCGATATCTCAATGACATGATGTATGTTGATTCTACATCAAATCAAGCTCGAATCGGTGATTAATGCGTATATGCAAAATGTTGTGGCAAGCAGCGCACTAAATTTGTTAGACAGTATAATTTTTCGTCGCGTTAAAAAGTGATTGTCGATTTTCTTTACCGGAGGTTGAATGCTATTTTAAACTTGAAACTACGCTTTCTACGAATCCTCCGACTACTCCAACACGCTTATCGAAATGGTTTGTACAAAGGTGAAAATTTGTCGATGTATGTATGCGCAGTGTCCGAAACATCCAAAATGTCACGCATTTCTTGATTTCAAAGCTCGTGCCGCCATGACAAATGGCATCCTTACCGACAGGCAATTTGAGAGCTGTACAAATCGCGATATATCAAGTTTGCATCGAGCACCTTGCCCAATTTGGCAGAAAGTTATCAAAGAAAAAATTAGCGTGTACATGCAGGATGATCACAAAGTTACAAGGGAAAGTAGATATGACACCGTTGAAGATGCATTTCAAATGACAGACCGTGAGATATTGCCAATGGTGAGCTGGACGGACATACAATGGCCACGATCGAATTCACAGATAGCGTTATCCCCCGTCATCGAAAAATCGTTATTTCCAAGTAAGTAGTTGTTCTTAAGTACTTAAAGAACACAAGTGGTTAGACGCAATGAAAGCTGTTACCGATGGCAACGACAAAAATGCGCCATCGGGAACAGCTTCCATTGCGTCTAAATACTTGTGTTCATTCAATTAATTTATTGGGTAATAATCTAATTATACTATGCAGTTAGTGATGATTGCATGAGAAATACAGGTGAGCCATTTTACCTGAATAAGCACCACATTTAAACAAGAGCCACTGACGTTAATTCAGACAGGTACGTTATGAACATTGAAGGAAATAGGTCTCTTTAAGGTTATCATTATCGCTAGAAAAGTTAATTACTGTCGGTGATGAACCAAATCCACTTTGCTTTGCTGGACTGATCAGCATACTACTCTATGATACAAGCTAATCAAGCATGTGGACACACTTTGCAATCCGGATCAGCTGATAGTCAATCGCGGAATCTTGTCAAATGCGACAGAACTTGGCCATCGCATCGCTTTGTTTGTCAGCATCGAGACCACTACGTGTGATCAAAACACAATGTTAAAGGGCTGGTCGATTGACGTATTACGCCTTCGATTAGGTAGCCAGCTGTCCGTGTAATGGGGCACCCTTTTGTTTTAGGTTCCGCGAAACTTCACGTACACTAGTACGTGCAGAGGAAGCTAAACTATTTGAACGACTCGATCTAGTAAGGTAAAAAGAGAATTGTAATTAATGTAGTTAAGCTATCAATAAAACTTTAATCTTTATCTAGCTATATTAAACTACAGTGTCGCATGACGACAACCTGCTCACCACTCATTGCGCGCGTCTAGCAGCGCTTGGTGGCAATCCATGATTAATATGTCTTATATCAACCAAACTTGAAGCAGCGCATAAATACTATCTTAAAAAGGGATAATATTCCTTCGATATTATCCATCTCGGATAATATTGGTAGAATCTTGTCATGCTAGACAATGATCCTGTTGACACCGTCTGGTGTCAATTTCATGTAACGGGCTACCCCGTTACATCACCTCACCCTTAACCATCAATCACCCGTTGATTGAATTAGAATTGATTGGGACAGGGTGACCACCGTTGGATCACTCTGGGAAAGGGAGCACTTGTTGGTCGAATCCCATTCATTTGCAAATCCAACGCATGGTTTCCAAAACCACGCGAGCTGCTACTGCAGAAGCAAGAATAGCGGCTGCACGAATGTGTGCGGCCGCGGAAAGTGTATCTCACGCCTCAGCAGCAGGCTATACGTCGCTTGTTGTTGTGAAATCTTCACGTGGTGAGTCACCACGTGCAACAGGTACATCCGTTTCGTCTGCAGCGGGTACCTCGAATCGTAATCAAGACGAGTCTGAGATAGATCTCATCTATTCCGGCGAGACGGATGATGCATCCGACTCGAAGGCGACACCTCACGCCTCCGGATAACCTGGGGCGGAAACTGCAAGGGCTAGGTTGACTGGGTCTGGTCAACGTGGCGGTATCATGTCCGAGATCTTCGGATCGAGTGATTATTCCGACGAATCTCCGCCTCACGCAAGTCCATCCAACGATAGGACGCGTGGAGATGGTGGTGATGCACCTATACATCACCACGAGCGAAGTAAATCAAGGGATCGGGGGTAACACTGGTGCCAGTGCTCATGCTGGCACCAATCAAGAGGCCAGGGACCGAAATGTCCTGCGCCACGGTCCTCAAGTGGAGTCTCCGTGGATGCCGCCATCCAGAGAGTTGTACCGGTTGGTCGGCACGACTATGGAACGGGATCGAATCCCGTTGTTCGATTGCAGGAATATTTGCCCACCTGATTCCAGCACGGAAACTATCCGTGCTGAGGAAGAGTTCTTCACCGATGCGTTCCTCAAACATCGGTGGTACAATGGTAGCCGTGTTCTGGACGGCAAAGCCTTGGTGCAGGGATGGAATTCCCTCATCCACAACATCGAGTGTACTAGCCGTGAGTCTTGGCTCGCCAAACTTGATGCAGCTCGCATCAGGTTTGAAAAACGCAACCCAGTCGGGGCGCAATACAAGTTGCACCGGCTTTCAAGAGAGGTAGGATAATCCTGTATCTCGTGGGGTGATTCGTGTCCAGGTTTCCTGGACAACTCGAACCGTGCCCCTAGGGAGTCCTGCCTCCCTAATGATTCCTACTGGAGGGCGCGCATCTCTTCCGATATGGCCGAAGGGATTGGCACCTTGCAATCCCTGTACTCGCGTTCGCGGAGGTCGTTTTCCGACGGCCCTTATTCAAACGCAGCCGGTGGGTCTCGTCGTACTGCTCGACGAGACCAAGGACAGAAACAATTAGCTGGGCACGAGGCTCCCAGCTGTCCCACGCCGGTGGATAGCCACGCCAGCGGACGAGGTAACTCTTCCGGACGCCATTCACATCGAGGTGGTTCAAAATACGCTCCACTGGGAAGCGTTGGCCACCGCTTGAGTCCACCAAAGGATGTGGTGGCGGCGGGAACACCTGATCCGGGTCGAGGGTCGGATCAAGTTGATGTTCAAGAGCTGAACCGTGTAACGGAACAGTTGCAAGATGACCTGGCTCACGAACGGACTCGGCGTTATGAGCTTGAGGATCTTGTGAGGGATAATTACGATTCC